TCGATCGGGACAGACAAAAAATATATATATATACAGCTCTCCGAGTGCTCCGCATTTTTTAATGGAGCTTCAACTGTATCGCACTGCGGGGCAACGACCACAAAGAGCGACCGCAACGTCGCGTTGCGTCGACGACATTCGCTTTCATTTTGAGCTGCAGCCGCGTCTGCTGGTCAGTCGCATTTGCGACTAGCCGTGTCGTGCAGTGCAGTCGGTGCCGTGCCATGGCGTGCCACTTCGATCCACACCTCACTTCCCTCTCGCTCACTCATTCTCTCTCTCTCGCTCTCCGGAGTTTGCCATCTGGCATGCACTTGCCGCGATCAGTGCGCATCGGTTCATTCGTTTGTTGCACTTGATGTTCGGCTAGCACTTTCGGTTCGCGTTCCCATTCCCATTCGCTTTCGATTTCTTTTATGCTTTCGATTGTATACCCTTGAAACAATACAAGGGTATAATCGACAGTGCAGCTCACCAATGGAGAAAAACACGATCATTAGCAAAATAAATATAAGCTATTAAATAGTAATTAGTTTATATACTTCACATAAACAAGATTGTGAACTACTTTCTACTTATAACAGGAAATTTTCAAAAAACGTTCCACATTCTTGAATATGAATGAAATTCAAATACAGTCTTAATCTGTATAAATATCAAAGTAAATATCAAAGGCTATATCTATGTGCACATATATAACTTTGGTGCCTCTTAAACTCTTACACGAGATATGCTTAAAAAAACAGGAGGTCGCTTTAAACTTTTATCGATAAGGGCGAAATAAGGGAGTTATCGATAATATAAACTAAGCTTGATCAAAATTTAAAGTCTAAATTCATTATATTATCTGTGATCCCCACGATCTTACAGATCGATGGACAGATTGCCTGTTGATGCTGAAGAAGAGGACTTACTCCTTTCTTTTGAATTTTACAGGTATAAATAATGTTTTTTATTTCGATTCAAAGTCAACGTCAATCAAACTGTTTATTGTCAATCGTCCGTTTTGTTTATTAAAGATTTGTCAGATACTCTCGACCTCGGAAGAGAGATTTATAAGTAAGCGTGCGAAACTTATTAATCATACCCATCATAGCCGCGACTGAAGACGTCTCGACTTACGTGTGTGTTACTTATGAATGTGCCAAGATTAGCCTCGACTGGTTAAATCGCGGCTAATAACCGATGGTGGCCCTTGATCAACAACTGGCGGGCGACCACTTTCGTTTTTTTTATTTCAAGTCATGGTCGGATTCATACCGGAGATGACGATCGCAGTCACAACGGCTGCCCCGTCATTGATCATTGGAAAGTTGTTCTCGCACACACACACTAATTATAAGGCTGTTTTTTTTTTTATGGCAATTTATCGTCGGATGCCAGACTTGACGACCACACGTGCAGCCCCACGTCAATATTCGATTCCGAAATCAAAAAGTTTCATTCATGCATCATATTCACACGGTGGACCCAAGAAACGCATGTATTTCCACATTTCAGTTGTTCCCTCTACCCCACTTAACAGCGTGTAAAGTAAATGAAAACGCTTTTCTGGTATGACAGTAGTTAACGTTTCGGTTGGACAGGTTATCGATTGCACTTTGATGCTTTAATCAAAAGAAACGCGGGGCAAGACTTGCAACGAGTTTACCCTTGACAGATATATTTAAAATTATTAATCAGATATTTATATTTATATATTTAAAAATAAGTATGAAACCCATTGAATTGCGAACCAAAAGTTGGAATTAACATTTAAGACACGTGTTTTTAACCTTGAATACAACCTTTGACCTCTATTCCGAAAAGAATTTTCGAAAACTGTGAAGTTTCAATATTAATTTAGCTTTCTCGGCGATGCTATTATGCTTTATCGTATAGCAGAACTAGGTATATATATAATTATATTGAAAATAGAAAGAAAAACAAAACAATCTAAATGTTTGCAATTAAAAAGCATTACGAATATGCTCAAAATTGAGATACCTAAAACATAAATATCTCATCTGCCTTCGAAACTTAAGTATACTATTATAGTCTTTGAACCTATTGCAAGCAGGGTATATAGTATACGTACACACACAGACATGTAATAGGTTGATTAATCTTGTTGCTTCTGCGGTATTTGCGGTTAATAATGATTAAGTCTTTGCTGATTTTGTTGCTGTTGTTGCTGTTGTGGATCGCTTTGGCCGCTGCCTTGGTTGCCTGAAACTTACCAACATTAAAAAAATACAAGCGTATAAACAAACAAGCGAGCAAACAAGCAACAATTCCAGACTCAAATTGAGTCAAAAGAGATACCACAACAACAACAACAACAACAACAACAACAGCAACAGCGACAGCAACAGCGACATTGCAAACAACTTTCCAACCACAGTGGCAAGTTTGGATATAGATTTGATTTGGACTTGGACACGTACACGTGAGCGTGAGTGTCTCGCAAAGCCTAAGCAGGTATCTTAACACACACTAGTATGTGCGTGTACTCGTGTGTGTTAGTCCATTTCAAGCTGTGTGTGCCGCAAATTGTTTATTTTTCAATCGGCATTGGCTGCAGCTGCTGCCACTCGAAGAAAAGTGAAATTTCTCAGCAACACCCCGATTTATGATATTCATGTTAATGACTAGGCTGCGCTCCGCTGAAAACGTGATTTTGATTTGACATTTTGCAGTCTCTTATGACTTAGATGGTTCGTTATCAAATTAAATCGAAAACAAGTTTTCGGTAATTTGAATTATTTGGTTGAGCAAGCCGTAGAGCTCATCTTGGGGCACGTCACTTGAATGTCATCTGCCAGCTGGCTTAATGCCATGCATCATGGTGTTCCACAGCGAATGTCTCCTCCCTTTCCCCTCCCAATTCTATATGCATACCTATACTCTAATACTAATCGATTGCACTTTATATCTGTATCTGCACGCTTACGCAACAGTCAGCGACTCTGGCAGGCACAGTAAGTACTCTACTTAAGCATTTTGTTGGTGTTGTTTATGTCTTCTTTAAGCTGGCAGTCGAGTAGTGTATGACATGCAGCACTCTGTTTGCATGACGGCCCTGGAAGCTTGCTAGAAATCAAAAACTTTTTATTTGCATTCAGAAATTAAATTTACTTATTGTTGAAATTGTTGTTGCAATTTATATTATAAACATTTGTACATTAACATGTGCATTGTTAAGTATTTGCTTAAATTACGCTCCTAATAATATCAAGTTTTCTTTTACCTAGTTTCGAATTGCCGACATTAAGAAAAAACACGCTACAATACTCCGTACACAATTCGAAAAAGTTATTATTCATTTCGGGCAATGTAAGTCTGGCTGTTCTCATCGCTTTTAAAACTGAAGACTCAGAACTTGACGTATCTCTGATTCGATCTGCAAGTCGCGAAAATGAGGTTAATGTTTAGACGGAACGAGAACTCTGCCATATTCATGTATATGAATATTTGTCAGTCTGACATGAGACACAAAAGAATCTTTAAAATAAAATTCATAATTGGAGCCCAATCTAGAAATGTGACACAATTTTGATAAACACAAAAGCAATTAAAATAATAATCAGAACAATTTGTATGTTCCATGTGAAGTAGGGGGAATCGTTCCATATCAAAAAAACAAAGAGCACAATAAGACAACAAAAAGTGACATTCAAAATAATATTTGTATTGTTAAACAAAAGCTACTCTTCATATTGTGTTTTAAACAACAAACAACCTAAACTACTTCTTTATTTAGGAATATCAATTGGGTCATTTATATAAGAAAATTGCTGGCAGGAGGCTGATTCTGAAACAATTGTTAACGTCGCTGTCGGGTGTAACCGACTGTGAACTACCTTGTTCTCATCTAATTAGCCGTTCAATCCCTCGAAAAGTCTTATTGATTATTGGGCTGATGACAGAAGTTTAAGACTTTTATGCTGTGTTATTGCTGCTTTCAGAAAAATTGATGTTGCACAAAAATAATATGCTATTATACTAGGACATACCCTTCTTCTATAGATAAATGCATGCAATTAAAAAAAACGCGTCCGTTTCTCCTGATCAAAAACATATTTTTTATGGAGTCGGAGTTCCGTTCTTTAGTTTTCTCTCTCACATGCTCTGTGAGAAAATAGACAACGAAAAGTCAGACGAGCGACAGGTCTGTCTTCCTGATGTCCATTTTTGTCAACCTCCTTTAAATTTGCATACCTAGAGCCACAATCAAACTTTAAAATGAATATCTCAGAAAGTTTTCTTTAAAATTGACGACAATACATCGATTTGTTTCTCCTTAAACAGTCTTCGACTTGTTCTATCTATTAACACCGAACCAATCTGACAATTTACTGTACGCTTCTCCAACTGTGCAGTCTTATCGAGGCTATTTACCTAACACCTAAATGAAGATTAAACATTTGCCTTTGACTGGCGCGACAAGTGATCAATGAAGAAATGTACTCGGGGCAAACCAATTGTCGCATAGTTCTTATCAGGCGGCACGTGTTAATGGCCGAAAGGTGCCAGCTTAGCCTCCAAATTTTGTCCCCTTTTTGCTATGGCACGGCTTGAAATAAAGGCGGCGAGTTATAAGACATTGCATCTATTTGTCGGCAATACTTTAAGCATGTGTATAATTTATAGTATTTGCACGGCCCTAAAAAATAGCAAATACTTCAGAGATAGTTAATTTGCCGCATGCCGTAAGTATTAGTCATGAGTGCCTAAGGCTTCAATATCTAAAAACAAATCCCATGTAATGTAGGCATCCAAATTTATCAAAAGCAGAACTTACTGTTACCGATCGGAAGAAAAAATGAAACAAAACATGTTATACATACTCTTGTTGAGTACTAAAGCATTAATACTTGTTGGACACAACACAAATTTCGAAATATTTTTACGTGTGCTTATCATTATTCGCTTATCATTTAAAACAATTTGATTTGACTGTTCTTTAGCTCACAATTTGTGTTTTTTTATAATTAATGGTAATTTATTTTCCTCTTCAGGCATCGCGTAAAGTCTCCAAATGTGGCTATTTATTTGTTGCGCCGGATTGGGACTTTTCGAATCCATTGTATAGGACAAAGGTAAGTTTTCTATAGAATTATTAATTAAGTGGTTAAGAATACATATTGATAAAGCATTTGACATGAATATTACACAGACGGTCGGGTAAAAGTTCTTATATGACAGAAGTATGAATGAAAGTATTCTGACCGAATTATCATTTGTGTTGTCTTTATATATCCATGTCAGTCAGAAAAAGCATTTCAAAATCATTGTAAGCCACATTTCATAAGAGCATTTGATCTAAGGTATGTGGTTGTAATGTATGTGATGTTTTTCTGTGATCAATATAAAAATTTATATGCTACTTGATTTATTGTCAATGAAAGAGCTAGCTTTGAACTAAAGCACTTGTGCAAATATTTGGCTGTCCGGCTTGGTCGACTGAAGAAAGTGCCACTGTCATAAGAACCGTCATAAGAACGGTACGTCCCTGACACTGGCATCCGTACTCGCAACCCGTACGGTCACAGCAGCTGAGGCTGGTGTGGACCAGGCAACGCCTTTTCCTCTCTCGCCGATTCGTATCTCGACCAATTAGCGAATGACGTAGCGACGTGACGGCAGTCAGCGCATCGTTAAATCCGCCATCGTCCGCGAAATACTTGTATGCAAATGTCTGAAAACCAGCGGTTACCAGCTGAGGGAAGCATCAATGGAGGCTTTCTAGAAATGGACAAGTGTCCACTGGAGCTTATGCGACGTTAACGTCTACGGTGACAGCGACGGTGACGACGACGGCGACGGCAATGCTAATAATAAAAGTGTACTCATGCGCATTGCGCACTTCCTTGTTAACAACATAAATTTACGTATGTTTTTAATGGTTGGACAGGTATTTAATTAACAATTTCTGCGTGGATCCACATCAAGAGTATCAACCGGATGTGTGCATGCCTCTCTTTCTCTCCCCTCCCTCCATCAGCCTCTCTCTCTCTTTCTCTTTCTATTTATGTATATGTTTGCAGAGAAATCAAATCACCCAACCAAGCAAGTAGTTTTAAGAGGAGCAAAATTTTCATATTGGAGTCAACTACAAAAATTGCTAATTTACCGGACATGTTAGGGATTACTAATAAAAGCTAAGTTAAATAGACAGATCTCTACCCCCAGTTCACAATAGTACTACCGGGTATTCCCTGGTCGTGTCCATTCTAAGCTTTGTGCTTTACCTTTTGTATATATGTTCAAAGTCAATCCAAAAGTTTGAATCATTTTCCATCCAAGAACGTTGGATTTCACGAAGAACTTATCACAAAATGTACAAAGATCTTCGAAAATTAGCTTAAGACCGATCGAATAGTAAATCAAAAAAGTTGTATGCACACGATTTTCACAATTTTTCATAGTTGCGGAGGAAGTTTACAAAACCCTGACTAAGCGAGCAGCTCCATGCTATAAGGTATCTTCAATGCAATTATCAGGCTTCCAGCTCCTAGGGTTTGCACTGTGCGCTGAACTCCAATCAGTCAGTCAAGACAAGCAGGTTTATCTATAGAGATTTATCTGCGTAGTATCCAGGAACCAACTTGCATCTGACCTGGTATTCAATATCGAAAGAGCCTGTTAATACATTTTGATCTATTGGCCAAGCCCTTTGGGCCATAATTTGCTGTGTGCAATTGAGCAATTATTGCATTTCACAGTTCAGTGCTTTAGGTGCAGCCATTTTGTATGAGCCCATGCCCCTCTTTGAATCTTATTTATTCAGTCGAAGTGCCCGCACCTCAATTCTGAACTTTTTGCAAATGCCAGAAGCTACAAACTTATCCAGGGCTTTCCCTTTGGTGGCAAAATATTAATATTGGCTAATATTAATATTGATATTGATAATATATATACTCAAAAACATTTTATTGTATATTCATTGTCAAATATACATTACTGCTAACATAGTCAATGCCTCTTTTTACGTTTTTACAAATGCCTTATGTGTAAGGAGAAATAATAAAATGTTTATAAAAAATGAATTGTTACACTTCACAACCATGAAAATAATCTAGCCTTAAGCAAATAATAGTCTAGCAGTAAGAAGACTTAACAGAGCACACTTGCTCGATCTCCCGGTTAGATAAATCAAATAAGTAACTAAGGTAAAAAATAATAGTAGGTTTCACTGGAAGTTTCTATTTCTGTTAGTTTTATTTTTTCTAACTCAATTTACTTGTTGTCTTAAGATTTATATATATTAACTCTATATATTAAATTGTTTGTCCTGACTGACAGACTGGTAATCAGCGTAAAACCTGTTATTTTACGCAAGTGTTTTTTCTTTACTAGACGATCTGCTTTAATATCAATCGCAATGAAATTTGTTCAAATTGGTTGTAGAAGTTTTTCGTACATTTTGCAAAATCCATTTCTCTTTGCTGGAAATGAATGTAAAATATTTGTTGGGTGAAGTTTCGGCTTCAAACTATTATTAAGGGGCCTTTATGAAGACTTATTTGAGACGTGTTTCATACTCCTCGCTAAATCCAACCATCTTAAAAAGAAAATTCGTGTCACAGATTTTTATACCCTGAACCCATTGAAAATGGGTAAAAAGGGTATATTGTATTTGTGCAAAATGCAAATATATGCAACAGGCAGAAGGAAGCATCTCCGACCCCATAAAGTATATATATTCTTGATCAGCATCAATAGCCGAGTCGATCTAGCCATGTCCGTCTGTCTGTCTGTCCGCCTGCCGGGAGCTCCCGACTAGAACCTGTTACTTGTTTGATATTGATTATACATAAACATGTGAATATATTTTGTATCATTACAAAATAATTAGAGTTGATAAACTCTCTTAAATGGCTAAAAAATTATAGTATACGATTTCTTGTGTGCAATTTACGTTCTTTAATAGCATTGGACCTTTTAAACACTTGATACATTTTTATGAACGACTTTCTTATCTATAATGGCAATGCATTAATTCAAATTGAAGCCGACTGAAAAAAGTCTGACTAGCAATAAAATATATTAAGATGTGGTGCACTACAAATTTTGTATGCATAATTTCCATTGATAACTTAAATTGAGTAATTTGGTTTAGATAATTTATCAATTCACTTGACAATAATTAGAATTTGGAATGCATTAAAACCATAAAGCATGGCCCTTCAGGACACCCATTGCAACACCTGGTGCCAACAGGTTAGGGCGACTAGCTTCTTCTTTCCCCCTCTGTGCCGCATTTATTAACTCGCTAGGCAACGACTATAAAACGTACAGCTAAGAATTATGTAGATTTTTATCGGCGCACCAAGTTTTCTGCATACAAAGTGCACAATTTTCATTTGAGACGGCGGCAAAGAAAACCTGCCGAGCAACCCAGAACGGAAAGACAGTCTTGAGTACGGACGACCGGAGACACAACACGTGGGCAATATAAGCGCTGACTGAGCAGCAGCCGATAAGCCATTATGCAGACGGGTTCGGGCGAGGCTGGAACGGGCCTGCCGTGAAGGATAAACAAACCAATTTTAGCTCCTGAACAAGTTCAACGACCCCGGCCGGCGAAACGGAAGTGTTTGCTAGGCAATTGGCCAGCGACTGCGGTCGGTCGCAAATCCGAGTAATGCAGTAGATGATAGTCGCAATCATCTTGGCTACTCTCCAGAAATGTTGTTGATTGACAGGTTTGCGAGTCCAGAGACCTCTACCGGCAATAGATTCGCCTATGTCTTTTTAATTAAACCAGGAAGTGACTGGGCCCAGGCACCAGTCTGACCTGCAGTCATTTATAAGAACTTGAAATATTTATTAAAAATTATGCACGCATTAGTGGAGCGTCTTTCTACCGTCTGTCTGACTGAATGACTTACCTTTATTAAGGAAATGGTCTGCGTTATGAAGATCACACAAAATGTTGCGTATTATATTGTTGTTGTTGTTGTCGTCGTGATTGCTGTTGTCCTCGTCATGATTGCTGCCTTCGCTCTGGCGATTTGAGGCGGTTCAGTTTATAGTCTGCTCCATGGCAGAATTCACTATAAAAAGCTTAACAGCCATTTCGGCTATTTCACGATACGCCCACAGTGAGTTGTCTTAATTTCCTGTTAAGTGATTAGAAAAACTAATTACACGTCAGAGCGGGATGCAGCTAGATAGAGAATGAATATTTGTTGCCTTTATAGGTGAATATTACAACTGAAACACGTTTTGAATCTCCAAATAACGTAAACAAGTTCATTTGTAGCAAATAACAGTTGCACCGAGTCGTTAACGGATACGGGAACGCGGGGAGGTACAATGGAATTTCACGTTTCGCCAGACTTCAGACTGCAGACTGCATGTGGGCGAACCAAGTGGAACGGAACGGAACGCCGTGACTTATAGTGTAGGTGGAGCATAGGAAATGCAATTAATGCATATATAATGAGCATAAGCGCAGTTTTTGATATATACTCACATTTGAACTATTTGACAACAAACACAGAAGCTATATATTGTATTTGTGCAAAATCCAAATGTATGAAACAGGCAGAAGGAAGCATCTCCGACCCCATAAAGTATATATATTCTTGATCAGCATCAATAGCCGAGTCGATCTAGCCATGTGCGTCTGTCTGTCCGTCCGTCCGTCCGTCCGTTCGTATGTATGAACGCAAGGATCTCAGAACCTATAAGAGCTAGAGACTTGAAATTTTAGATGAAGATGCTCCTAGTTCCCGCGCAGATCGAGTTTTCCGATAATCGATAACTTGCTCCGTTTCGAAGCAATCGATAAAAATCGATATCGATATCCTGTTTTTTGGTCAATTTTGGTAAATAATAAAAGCTAGAGTCACCAAAGTAGACATATAGCTTCTAAAATAGAATATATATATACATTTGATGTTGGAAGAAGAGGGTTCAGGGTATCCCCTAGTCGGGAGCTCCCGACTAGAACCTCTTACTTGTTTCTTACTTTGTGTCTTACTTTAATTGCAAAATTGCAAGAATTTGAGTGCGATCACTGTATTTTGGAAACATATGAAGAGTATAGTGATAGTCTTCTGATAAAATCGAGTGTGGTTTTGGAATCAAA